GCTGTTCCTTGTTCAACTAGGCTGTGAAGAAGCAGCTTAGCATGCATTTGTTGTGTGTCCTATAGCCACCCTCCAACTGGAGCTACCTAGAGGCCCATATCATGGATTGGTCCTGCCTGGGATTTCTCAACAGCCATTCTTTCTTTCTTCCAGGAGTTTGGAGAACTTCTCTATGTTCTTAAATTTTTTTATTTTTGCTAGGTATGGTGGCTCACACCTGGAATCCTAGTATTCTGGGAGGATCCCTTGAGCTCAGGAGTTCAAAACCAGCCCGAGCAAAAGTGACACCCTTCTCTACTAAAAAAGTAGAAAACTTAGCTGAGGGTTGTAGCCAGCACCTATAGTCCCAGCTACTGGGGAAGCTGAGGCAGGAGGATCGCTTGAGCCTAGGAATTTGAGGTTGCTGTGAGCTAGGCTGATGGCACAGCATCCTAGCCTGGGCAACAGAGTTGACACTCTGCCCACCTACTCCCTAAAAAGAGTTTTTGTTTTTTTGTTTGAGACAGAGTCTCAAGCTGTCGCCCTGGGTAGAGTGCCATGGCGTCATAGTTCATAACTTGGACTCAAGTGATCCTTTTGCCTCAGTTTTCCTCTTTTTAGTAGAGATGGTCTCCTTTTTGCTGAGGCTGGGCTCAAACTCATGAGCTCAAGCAATCATCTACCCAGTCTCCCAGAGTGCTAGGATTACAGGAATGAGCCACCACACCTGGCAAAAGTTTTATTTTTTGCTTTTGCACAGTAACTGAAAAGAGTTGCTCCTTCTTTAAATCTGTATCTCAGAAAATTAGCTGGGCATGGTAGTACACGCTCACAGTCTCAGCTACTTGGGAGAATCACTTTAACCCAGGAGTTGGAGGCTACAGTCAGCTGTGATCAGGCCACTGCATTCCAACCTGGGCAACAGAGCAAGACTCTGTCTCTAAAAAATCTCTACCTCAGCCTGGTGGGCAGTTCCATTGAGGGCCCAGACTTTTATATATTATTTCATTTGCTTCCGTAATATCCTTCAGCTTTCCCATTTTATATGAAGGAACTGAAACCCATGTCGAGAGACTTGTAAAAGGTCTCATAACCTCTTTGTGGACAAAACTATGCTTGAAAAAAGCCCTAAGGAACCTCATGTCTGAGCCCAAGATAACATGTTTCTTGCTAGTCAACCCCTACCTGGGTCAGGGGCAGGGGAAGGAGGGAGACAGGTATACAAATAGTTAATTGCGGAGCACAGTGTGTGCCCTAATGAAGCTGAACAATGGTGGTGGGAGTTGTCTTCTAAGTTTACAGTTTGTGTTTGGTGCTTGTCCCCTTCGCTCCAGATTCTGCCTAATCAATGCAGGAGTGCTGTACCTCTACTTCAGCAACTACCTACAGATCGATGAGGAAGAATATGGCGGCACATGGGAGCTCACAAAAGAGGGATTTATGACGTCTTTTGCCTTGTTCATGGTATGTGTAGCTGATAGTTTTACAGCAGGTACTAATCATTTCCTGAGGTGTCGCTTACTTGAAGGAGCCCAGTGATTGAGTGATACCCTGTTTTTCAAAAGGCATTTCCTCTGTTGAGTCATATTATCCCAAAAGATGTGCTAAAATATTGTAAAATCTCCCCATAATGAATAAGTCCAGGGCCCATTGTCAGCTTCTACATCTGATTCTCTACCCGGGCTACATATTAAGACACTTGGAAACATTTAAAAATAAATTCATAGGGTGGCACCTGTGGCTCAAAGGAGTAGGGTGCTGGCCCCATATACCAGAGATAGTGGGTTCAAACCCAGCCCCAGCCAAAAAAAAAAAATATATATATACATATATTTAATATATATATAAATATATATATATAGGCTGGGAATGGTGGCTCACACCTGTAACCCTAGTACTCTGGTAGGCCAAGGTGGGTGGATTGCCTGAGCTCAGGAGTTTGAGACCAGCCTGAGCAAGAGTGAGACCCCATCTCTAAAAAACATAGCTGGTCATTATCAAGGGCACCTGTAGTCCCATCTGCTTGGGAGGCTGAGGGAAGAAGATTGCTTGAGCCTAAGAGTTTGAGGTTGCTGTGAGCTATGACACCATGACACTCTACCAAAGGCCACAAAGTGAGACTCTGTCTCAAAAAAAGAGGGAGAACTTTCAGGAGTATGAATTATATTTTCAATTTCTTAAAAAATTATACTATAACCCTATGTGTCCTGACCTTGGCCCAAACCTGTAAAATAGAAATCTTTGAGAGATGGTGCCAGGCATCTATTTATACATACGTGTGTGTGCACATGTGTATGTACAAAGGTCCCAGGACATGGCAGTTGGTAGCCCAGTTTGATAACCTCTGCTTTGATGTGGAGCTGTCAAAGTGTGATGATCTTTTCACATTTCACGTTTATAACCCTAACAACTGATAGCAGTAGAGAATGCTTTGCTTATGTCATTTCCATGTACATATGTCCACCCTCTGGGGCTAGAGTTGCTGTTGAGTGGGAGATGGTCTTGGGGCGGGAGGGGTCGCTTTGGGAGTACAAGTGGTTGATCCTGGGCTCTATTAGAGATAGCTTGATTTCAGCCCAAATAATTTAGGCTCTCAAGAAGATTGTGCATTGGCTAGCCCCCAGGGAGTACCATCATTAGGCATGGTTTTTGTTTTATGGAATTGGGGCCTATGTTGATCCAAGTCACCTATGGATATTGCTTGTCTCCTTACTAGGTCATTTGGATCATCTTTTATACTGCCATTCACTATGACTGATGGTGTACAGCTCCCACCTCCTCCCTGTCCTGTCCAAAGGAAGCTTCTTAATAACCAGCACAGAAACATGATTGTTGGGGCACCCCAGCCCTTTGGAACCGAAAAGACCTGTGTTTCCTGGACCACTAATCAGTGTGTTGGGCATCGGTGTTTTCTGCAAGGATTGTGACCTGAAACTTCTTAAAGAACCATCACCTTTGGGGGAAGCATTTCAGAATTTGTCCATCACCAAACATTTCTTCTTGGATGCCATCATGTAACAGCCGTTTGCCAAGTGGAGCTGTCATTTAATTTGCTGCATCTATGGATTCGGATGAAACATTAAAATGTCTTCCTCGATTCTCCATCAAGTGTACAGTTTTTAAACTATCAGTGGCATTTTAAGTCTTCTGAAACAATATGGCTGTATGTATGTGGTCCATAGAGCACAGTACAAGCAGCACCTAATAACAGTTTCCATTGTAGAATGTTTTCAGATACTTGAATAAATCCAATCTTAAATTGAGAACTTGTTGACAGTACCTGGTAAACCCTTTTCCACTTCACCTGTAGCTTGAGGACCTAGTAGAAGCACTAGAGATACTCTAGTATTCCTCTGCCTAATCTCTAAGCAGCTCCCACTGGCCCTCTTTCTCCTTAAGGGCAGCAGGGAAATCAAGGGCTGGAGTAGGTTTAGGCTGTGGCCTTGATTGGTATGGTGGAGAGAAGGCTTACCCCTTCTGGTGCTTCTGGCCAGCATGAGAGAGGTGACTGCCTCACTGCAGTGTATTAGGCTTAGGAAGTGTCATTTTGTACTTGTCCACAAGGTGGCAAGGACAGTATGGCTGAGAAAGCTTGGCCAGGTTTGAATAAGTACCAATACGAAGTAGAGATCTGTGAACTGGGGCTGTCTGGAGAAGGGCCTTGATGGAAGATATTTGAAGACTTGGATTGCCAGAGGTCCAATTTGCTCTGGGGGTTCGGTGGAGGCTGGACAGCCCAGGATCTGCTGCCGTGGTATAACCATCTGTCCCCTCTCCTTTCCTTCTAGGCCACACCCTTGCCTTCTAAGGTATGGTGGTGAGACTTGTAAATTTTCTTTTCTTTTCTTTTTGTTTTTTTTTTGAGACAGAGCCTCAAGCTGACCCCCTGGGTAGAGTGCTGTGGCATCACAGCTCACAGCAACCTCCAACTCCTAGGCTCAAGCGAGT